GGTTTTTTAAATATACTTCTTAAAAAGAAATAGACTTCTACTAAGTAGATCTTGCATATTTCTTTCATCAGTCTCTTAGAGCCATTTGTACTGTTAAAGCCATATTTTCCAGCTATTAATCTTCCTTTAGGGAAATCTCTGACCTCATGGTAAGAAGCTGCACTGCAATACCAAAGGCATGTGGTTCAAATCCACTAGCTACTTTGTAGTAGAAGAATGGACAGTCTCCTCTCATGTGATGTAGTGCTCCTGAAAACCTGCTGGAGGGTCAGCTGTAAGTCAGTTCTGACTTAACAGCAGACAACAAAAACAATCATCTTTATTTAAGGGATCTCTGGGACTCAGGTGTATAAGAAGTTGTGATACCAACCTGAAGTCAGGCAGTTCAGATCCACTAGCTGTTCTGCAACAGAAAGATGGGCAAGCTCTTCTCGTTGATTTTTATCTCTCAAAACCCAAGAGAAGGTCAGCTATGAGTGAATTCTGATTATGGCATACAATAAGTTTTTGTTGTTGTTGTTGTTACGTGCTGTCGAGTCGGTTGTGACTCATAGCGACCCTATGTACAACAGCCCTAAACTCTGCTCTGTCTTGTGCCAGTCGCACTGTCTCCGATACACCCATCCCAATTATCCCAGTCACTGAATCAATCCACCTTATAGAGGGCCTTCCCCTCCTGCATTGTCCCTCCACCCTCCCAAGCATGATGTCCCTCTCCAAGGACTGGTCCCTCCTTACAACATGTCCAAACTGTGTTAGACGAAGCCTCAGAATCCTTGCCTCCAAGGAGCCACCCAATTTAACCCTCTTCAGGATGAATCTGTTTCCCTAGCAGTCCATGGTACTCTCAATACTCTTCTCCAGCACCACAGCTCAAAGGCATCAATTCTCCTTCTATCCTCCCTAGTCATTGTCCAACTCTCTGACGCATAACAAGTGATTGCAAAGACCATGGCCTGTATCAAACACACCTTAGTCTCTAGAGAGACACGATTGTTCTTCAGAACTTTGGAAAGGTCCCTAACAGCAGACTTTCCCATGGCAATACGTCTTTGAATTTCCTGGCTACTGGTGCCGAGAGTGTTGACTGTGGAGCCAAGCAAACTAAAGCTATGAACAATCTCAATCTCTTCCTGATGCTGCCAATTGGTCCAGTGGTGAGAATCCTTGTCTTCTTGACATTGAGCCTCAGTCCATCCGTATTGAAGGCTGCACTCCTTGACCCTCTGCAGCAAGCACTTGAGGTCCTCCTCAGTTTCAGTAAGCAGGGTTGTGTCATCTGCATAACGAAGATTGTTGATATCTTCCACCAGTCCTGACCCCACATTTCTCATAGAGCCCAGCCTCCTGGATAATCTGTTCTGCATACAGGTTGAAAAGGTATGGAGACAGGACACACCCCTGGCATATGCCCTTCCCAATTTTGAACCATGCAGTGTTTCCTTGCTCTGTTCTGTCAGCTGCCTCTTGGTCCAAGTATGGGTTTCACATTAGCATGATCAAGTGTTCTGGGATTCCCATTCTTCTCAGAATCACACACAGTTTGTTATGATCCACACAGTCAAAAGCCTTTGCATAATCAATGAAACACAGATAGACATTCCTCTGGTATTCCCTGCTTTCAGCTAAGATCCATCTAACATTAGCTACAATATCCTTAGTACCACGACCCCTTCTAAACCCAGCCTGGACTTCTGACAGTTCTCTGCTGTTGTGCTGTTCCAGTCGTTTTTGGATAATCTTGAGTAGAATCTTGCTTGAAATCAATGATATTGTTCTGTAGTTTCCATACTCTGTTGGGTCACCCTTCTTTGGGATGGGAACAAATACAGATCTCTTCCAGTCAGTTAGCCAAGTGGTTGTTCTCCAGATTTCTTGGCACAACTTGGTGAGCATGTCCAGGGCAGCATCTGTTAACTGAAATATGTCAGTTGGTATACCATCTAGTCCTGGGGCCTTATTTTTTATTTCCTTCAAAGCAGCCTGAACTACTTCTTTCATCACCATAGGCTCTTGCTCGTATGTTGTTTCATGAAATTCTTCTATGTCTTTCAATACACCCCAGTTCCTTTCAATACACCCCAACCACTAGTAATTATAAATGCATCTTGATTACACATTTGATCAATTTAAAACTGCAGAAGTTGATAAAAATCTTCATTTTCCTCTTGTTTGGCATTACCTAAATTGATACAGTGCCAGGAGATGAATCCCTCTGGTCAGATGACACTCAAATATGATGACAGAAGATCTGTCTCCTCAAAATTGTTGTTAGGTCCTGTCTAGTTGCCTGTGACTCATAGCCCTGTGAATAACAGATCTGAACTGTGCCCTACTCTCTGCCATCCTCTGTGTCTCTAACACACTTAAGTCCATTTGTTGAGGGTCTTCCTCTCTTTCACTGACTTTCTGCCTTTCCAAGCATGATACCAAGTCAGTCTTAATTACATAGGTAAAATGAAGCTTTTGGGATCTTCATCTCTTGTGATCTTCATTTAATGATATGTTGTAGTTGTTGTTGTTATGTGCCGTCAAGTCGTTTGCGACTCATAGCGACCCTATGTACAACAGCTCTAAACTCTGCTCTGTCCTGTGCCAATCTCATTGCCTCTGACACAGTCATCCCGATTGCCCCAGTTACCGAATCAGTCCATCTCCCAGAGGGCCTTCCCCTCCTGTACTGTCCCTCCACCCTCCCAAGCATGATGTCCCTCTCCAAAGACCGATCTCTCCTTACAGCATGACCAAAGTATGTCAGGCAAAGCCTCAGAATCCTTGCCTCCAAGGAGCAGCCCGGTTTAACCCTCTCCAGCATGAATCTGTTTGTTTTTTTAGCAGTCCATGGTATCCTCAACACTTCTCCAACACCAAAGCTCAAAAACATCAATTCTCCTTCTATCCTCCTTGGTCATTGTCCAGCTCTCTGATGCATAACAAGTGATTTCAAATGGCATGGCTCAAAATGAGAAGGAAACAGCTGCAAATATCCGTTAATAATCAGAATGTATTATATATAAAATAGGAATTTAAAAAAATGGGAGAATATAAAAAATAAAATTCATAAAGATTAACATTCTAGACATTAGTGAGCTGAAGTGGTCTGATATTAGCCATTTTCGTTTGGATAGTCTTCTGAACTGTGCTGGGAATGACCAAAAAAAAAAAAATAAGGCGGAGTAATGTCACATTCTGCATGTACATTGAAAAGGTGTGGAGATAGGATGCATCCCTGACCCACTCCCTCCCTGATTTTGAACCATGCAGTGTTTCCTTGCTCCGTTTTGAGGACTGCTTCCTGGTCTGAGTATAGGTTTTGCATGACCACAATCAAGTATTCTGGGATTCCCATTCTTCTCACAGTCAGTCACAATTTGTTGTGGCATTCCCTGGTACTCTCTGCTTTCTGCCACGATCCAGCTGACATTGGCAATAATGTCTCTAATGACACAACCAATGTAATTTTTGTTCTAGTTCTAGTAATTTTGTTCTGTTCTAGTAATTTTTTTATAATCTTCAGGATTTTGCTTGCGTGTGATATTGGTAATATTGTTTGATAGTTTCCACAGACTGTTGGGTCACCTTTTTTTTGAATAAATATGGATCTCTTCCGGTTGTCCTCTAGATTTCTTGGCACAACCTGGTGAGCACATCCAGGGCAGCATGTGTTTGTTGAAATATGTTGACTGATAATGAATCAATTCCTGGGGCTTTATTTTTGCCAAGTCCTTTACAGCAGTCTGCACTTCATCACCATTGCCTCTTGATTATATGTTTCATGAAATTTTTCTGTGGCAATCAATTCTTCTTGGTACAGTGACTCAACAGAGTCACTCTTTCCATCATCTTTATGAGGAGGATTGTGGTATCAAGATTAGAGGAAGACTTATCAGCAACTTACATTATTCAGATAATACAGCCTTGCTTGTTGAAACAGAAGAGGACCTGATGCACTTTGCTGCAGAAAGTCAAGGACTTCAATATGGATGGAGGCTCAACATCAAGAAGACAAAGATTGTCACCAATGGGCCAGTTGACAGCACCGTGATAGGTGGAGAAGAGATTGAGGTTGTTATCAATTACAGCTCCATAATCAACACTCTTGGCACCAGCAGTCAGGAAATCAAATGACTAATTGCACTGGGGAAAATCTGCTGCTTTCCAGAGTACTGAGAAGCAGTTATGTCAGCATAGAGATGAAGGTGCACCTAATCAAGGCCATGGTCTTCACAGTTAACCTGCTGTGTATTAGAGAGCTGGACAGTGACTCAGGATGACAGAAGAATTGATGCATTTAAGTTGTGGTGCTGGAGAAGAGTCTTGAACGTATCATGGACCGCCAAGAAAACAAATAAGTGTCTTGGAGAGGATGAAACCAAGTTTCTTGGAGGTTAGGATTTAGAAGCTTCATTTCACATACTTTGCGTGTGTGGCCAGGAGGGACCAATCCTTAGAGGAGGACGTAATGTTTGAGAGAGTGGAGGGACAATACAGGAAAGGAAGACTCTAGATGAGATAGATTGAAACAGTAACTGGGGTAATGACTGTAGGTGTGTTGGAGTCAGTGAGACAGGCTGAGGATAGGGCAGGCTTCAGAGCTGTTGTACAAAGGGGTCTTTATGAGTCACAGGTGACTTAACAGCACATAACAAGTGTCACATTTACTGTCCAAAAGAACATTTTTACTTCACCAAAGAAGAAATTCAGATGGCGAACAAACACATGAATAAATGTTCAAATTCCCTAGCTCTAAGAGAGATGCAAATCAAAACAAATATGAGCTATCATCTCACCCCAGTAACAATAGCAAAGGTCAACAGAGCAGCAAACAACAACAAATGCTGGTGAGGTTGTGGAAAAATTGTAACTGTGGGTGGGAGTGGCAAAATGGTGCAACCACTCTGGAAGGCAGTATGGCTTTTTCTCAAAAAGTTGGAAATAAATAGTATTTGAGAGCCTACCTTCCCTGCTGAGACAACTTCGAAACTAGAACTGCATGGACCATGAACCCCAGCGACTGCACCTGCATGTCTGGAGGAATCAACATCTGTGGGGATAACTGTAAATGCACAACTTGTCACTGTAAGGTGTGTCAGAAAAGCTGCTGTGCCTGCTGTCCCCCAGGCTGTGCCAAGTGTGCTCGTGGCTGCATCTGCAAAGGGGCCTCAGACAAGTGCAGTTGTTGCCCCTGGAAGGCAACCATCATGCAAGGGAACGTCGTCTGTATAGTGCATGAGTTGAGAAACTGGAATAATTGTACAATAGATTGTGCTTTTTATATGTAAGGTGTTGGAGCAATGAAAGTTCTACTTGTGATTGTCTGGTGAAAACAAACAAACAAAACCAAGAAATATCATTTGGCCCAGCAGTTGTACTTATTGGGTATATACCCTAAAGAAATCAGAACTGCCACCCAAACAGATACCTGTATACCCATACTTATTACTGTGTTGTTCATAATAGCAAAGAGATGGAAGCAACCCAAGTGCCCGTCAACAAATATATGGATAGAGAAGCTGTGATATATTCACACAAAGGAATACTACATAGCACTGAAAAACAAGGAACTCATGAAATTTGCAAAATGGGTGACCCTGGAAGACATTACGCTGAGTGAAATGTCTCAGTCACAAAAGGACAAATACTGCATAATGCCACTGTTATAAAACAGAACTGACATGGGGGTTGGGAGGAAACTAAGAAAAAAGGATAAATAATAAACACTTCATTTAGGTAGATGAGGGAAAGAACTGTCTAAAAGAAATACGTGATTAGGTGTTAATTTGCTTGATAACAGTCCAGAATAAAAGGTGCATAGCAAAGTGGAATTGGAGGGGAGGCGCAGGAGGAAATTGTACAACAATGAAAGAAGTATTTTAAACAGAAAGGTGAACTGGAGGAAAAAGTGCAACAGTGAATGAATGGAAATCCAAGTGTTCTGTAAACTTTTAAAAAATTTTTAAAAGTTAAAATAATATCAGAAAAAAAACATTTCACAATGTATCCTGACGAAGAGTGCTGTCAGAGATAGGATAATATTCATATACCTACAAAGAAGACCAGTTAGTAAAAATGGTAATAAAATTTTTAACAAAAGCTCTGCTAATTTTTCAAACAAAGATATGTGTATGTGTAATTGTTTTTTAAAATGTTAACTTTTAAAATTTTAAGCAATCATTTAGTAATTTCTTTTATCTGAAATTTCTTTTTTGATTAATTGTTTTATTTACCTTATCCTGGTAAGAAATACTTGAGTTTTTCTGTGATAATTGATAAGAGATGAAGCCTGAATGAAGATGATTACCTTTGTTTGGTTACTTTGAGTAAAGTTTTGAGTAGATTCGAAAATATTTCTTTCAGATGTCATGTTTTCTCTAAAAAATAATTTTTCCTAATTATATCATGCTAATGCAAAACCTATACTTGGACCAAAAGGCAGTAGTCAGAACAGAGCAGGGTAACACTACATGGTTCAAAATTGGGGAGGGTGTATGCCAGGGATGTGTCCTATCTCCATACCTTTTCAACCTGTATGCAGACCAGATTATCCGAGAGGCTGGGCTCTATGAGGAGAAGTGTGGCATCAGGATTGGTAGAAGATCTTATTAACAGTCTGCATTATGCAGATGACACAACCCTACTTGCTGAAACCGAGGAGGACCTCATGCACTTGCTGCAGAGGGTCAAGGACTGCAGCCTTCAGTATGGGCTGAGGCTCAATGTCAAGAAGACAAAGATTTTCACCACTGGACCAATTGGCAGCATCAGGATGGATGGAGACGAGATTGAGATTGTTCACAGCTTTAGTTTGCTTGGCTCTGCGGTCAACACTCTTGGCATAAGCAGCCAGGAAATTAAAAAAAAACTTATTGCAATGGGAAAGTCTGCTGTTAGGGACCTCTCTAAAGTACTGAAGAGCAGCGGTGTGTCTCTGGAGACTAAGGTGCATTTGATACAGGCCATGGTCTTTGCAATCACTTGTTATGCATCAGAGAGTTGGACAGTGACTAGGGAGGATAGAAGGAGAATTGATGCCTTTGAGCTATGGTGCTGGAGAAGAGTATTGAATGTATCATGGACTGCCAAGAAAACAGATTCATCCCGGAGAGGGTTGAGCCAGGCTGCTCCTTGGAGGCAAGGATTCTGGGGCTTCGTTTGACATACTTTGGACATATTGTAAGGAGGGACAGGTCCTTGGAGAGGGACATCATGTTTGGGAGGGTAGAGGGACAGCGCAGGAGGGGAAGACCCTCTGTGAGGTGGATTGATTCAGTGACTGGGGTAATCGGGATGGGTGTGTCAGAAGCAGTGCAATTGGCACAGGATAGAGCAGGGTTTAGGGCTGTTGTACATAGGGTAGCTATGAGTCGCAAGCTATTCAACGTCACATAACAACAAAACGAACATATTGTCATTGTATAAATGTTGTTGTAGAACTATACAAAGAATTAAAATAAAGCAACTAGTAAGCCTACCGGCTACTAAAGACCTATTTGGCCTATTTAAATTTTTTTTTCTTTGTTCTTCTTTCTCTCTTACTATCTCTCATTTCCCTAGAAAAGTAACATGCATTTTAATCTAATGGTGAACCACAGACTTTGTAAATTTAGTGAAGAAAGAAGGACTAATGGACATGGTAGAGGAAAACAGGGATACAATTCAGAGGTCAGAGAGAAAGGAGATTAAATCTGTATTTATGCCTCTAAAACAAACGCAGCTAGAGTGCTCTTTAGAGGAAATGATGGTGAAACTTCACATCTCATGCTTTGGGCATGTTGTCATCTCATCCTTTGGGCATGTTGTCAGGAAGGGCCAGACCTTGGAAAAGACATGATGCTGGGAAAGGTGTAAGGTAAGTGAGAGAGAGGATGATCTTTCAGCACATGGCTTGACACTCTAACTACAGCAGTGGTCTTGAGCATGCTGCAGATCACAAGGCTGGTGCAGGATAGGACTTTAGAGTTCAGAGCTGCTGTGCTCTATGAATCATGGTCTAATTGATGGAACCTAACAACAAAGCAAAACAAAATAAACTTGAAAAAGGTGAATTGAAGTAAAGCCCTGATGGAATTCTGAGATGAGCATATCAACAAGAAGTGAGCCATTTCCCCATTACTGTCACAGGCAATCTCATACCTATCTGCGAATCACAACAAATGGATCCAAAACTGGATGTATACTGTGAAACCTTTTTTCCCTCCAAGTTCTTAAAAGACCTCCTGAAAGGCAAAAGTTTATAAAACAATTTTAAGATTGTTATGGGGTGAGTATTTTCAAAGGAATAAATTCACTTGAATGCATATATTCTTCAGTTCGAAACTTTTTCTTTCTCTGTTCCAGTGTTCCCAGGATCCCATGGGCCTTTGCTATGACAGAAGTATGTGGCATGATTCTGTGCTATATTTGGCTTCTGGTACTACTCCTCCACAAGCACAGGTACATCCCTTACTCCATATAAGTTATCAAGCCGTATCTTTTTCTCTGTAGTTTCAAAACCGTAATTTTCTTCTCTGACCACTGTAACATTGTACTTACTGACAAAAGAAAATGTTTAGGATTTCTGAGATAATACCTATATTTTTGGCAATATTCTGAATGTATTTTGCAGGAGCAGATAAGAAATGAGGTTGATCAGCATTGAATATAGTAGTCTTGATAATATAGCCTTATCTTAAAACAAGCAAGAAATGTCATTGTAGTGCAGAAAACCCAAAGATCGTCTTTGGTCAGCTATGTGGGTGGAAGGTATTCTTTGCTTGGAGGGGCCCATTCAAGAGTAGATTATTTTGCATAATATCTTGCATATTTACTCAGTATAGTTTACTTCAAGTGATAAAGAAGTCACCAATTAGGGTGAATTTTTCTGTTTTTTCATTAGAAACAGAAAAAGCAGCTTTTCTTAAAAGAAAATTTTAAGTTAATATGAAAATGTTAAAGGAGGCTTCTTCTCTACTTTAGTGGGAAGAATGAGGCAATAATAAAGCATAGTGAGGGGAAAACCTAGTAACTGTAAAGTCAGTGGATATTGTAACTGTTGTCTTTATTATCCATTGCGTTTAGATCAGTGCAGAGGAATAATGGCCCATTCTTGAGTTTTCTCCAGGGAGTGCTTGAGATAAAACCACAGTGATGGTTTGGTTCCTAAATAGCAGTTGTTTCAGTGCTTGGAAGGTGAAAATTAAGGTTGATGATTACTATTCTTGTCTCACTTTTAGGCCATGTTGAAACCGCATCCTCTTTTATTTCAGAGCAATATTTTTAAACACTAGATTGCTTGAAAGCTATAGGTGGTTTAAAAAAAATATATATCACTGCTACTTTCTGATGTAACCTTGCCTCACAAGACTCCATGAATCTGAGTTTATTCACTCTTAACAACAGGAAAGAGTTCATTTTTAAAGAAAATTTGGTGTTTACTACAACATAGCAGTAGCCAGTTAAATGTAGGTGCTGAAGTTTAATGTTTCTTAAATTGTGGTCTATAGCTAGAACAAAATGATACCCCAGCTGCAGTAAATCATCTCAAATAAATTGATAGAAAAATGAAGAACAAAATTAAAATCTCTTTAAAAAGGCCGGCCTTACCGGACCAGTTGAGAATGAAAGACTCTCTTAAGACTGTTGCCCTAAGAACTGGAAAGTGAAGCCCCTCCTAGAGGTCACCTTACAACCAAATTATTGACGGGTTTATTTTTAGAAAACCAACAATCACACAGTGAGTAGTGATTGTCCCCGTAAGCAGTCAACTATATTAAACCAGTCAGTCACCATTTACCCAGATGCAAAGATGAGATGGCAAAGAAGATAAGGTAAAATAGATCAGTGGGAAAAAAACAGTGAAGAGCGTGAGAATACTGACACATTATGAAAATTGTAACCAACATCATGAAACAATTTGTAGAAAAATTAAGTGGGAACTAACTCACCTAAAACATACAGGGGCAAAAGGTTTTTAAAAAATACAGTGCACTTGGGGGGCCTATCTTTTCACTGTCACCTGGAAGCTCTCACTGATCAAATGTCCCCCTTCTCCAGTCTCGCAGTAAATGTCAACAAGCTAAAAAAAGAATTACGGTACACAGGGAAGGGGTCGGTAGGGAGAAAAGTGCAACAGTGAATGACTGCAAACCCTAAGTCTCTCTAAACTTCCATTAAAATTAATTAAAAAAAAAAAGATATGGTGTATATCCCACCTAAGGAGCCTTCGTCAGTACTAGTTAAATGCTTACCTACTAACCAGAAGGTCAGCAGTTCGACCTTCCCCATGGTTGTACCTTCAATAGCA